TGCACAGCCTCCTTGAAAGTCCTAGCAGAAACACCAGGCTAGCTTTCCAGGCAGAAGGAAACAAGGCAAGACCCATTGTCCAAGAACCAAACTGAACGGACACGAGGAACAGGAGTCCTGCATCTCAGCCACCACTGCAGAGGCACAAGGGAAGGGACCAGACAATTCCATATAAAACCCCCAGTTCGTAAATGCTGCACCTGTAACCCCAAAGGATCTAGAAGTTAGTCCCATTCTCTAGGGCCAGTGAGTCCTCAGGGTCTTGCTCTGAGCCCCCCCCCCCCCGTGTCCTTGCAAAGGCCTGGGTTCAGTCCTGCCCTAGGTCACCTGCTGCCCCCAGTATAACATAGGGCACATGTGAGGGCTGACTCCAAGGATAACCAAGAGTCAGAGACATCACAGAGGTAGCACTTGGGGTGCAGGCTTTGGGATCAGTGTCTGTCTGGGCTTTGTCAGTTATCATCTGGGCACGTTAACAGGAGACCTCCTTGGTTTTGTCAGTGATGAGGTGGCTGTGTGAAGATCTGACATGGCCCAATGCTTCTTTATCTGCAAAGCCTCCCTAAGATGAGGGTGGGGTGACAGAGCATTCTTCCTTGTCCCAAACCAGCCTCCATCCTCCTTCTCCAAGTCCCCAGAGACATCCACAGTCTATAGCATAGCAGGAAGACCCAACCTGGTGATGCGTATAGCTCCCCAAATTGGGGCAGGGATATCACAGGCCAATTACAAAGCTGATGAGAAAGAGCAGATAGCTCTTGAAAACACAAAGTGCTTGTGGACTACAGGCTGGCAAGCCCCCCCTTCACACCACAGCCTCTCTACCTGGATGCTTTGTTTGTGCATGTCACCTGTGCATGAAGCTTGCAGTCTGTGTGGGCTCCCATCACTGGTCACTAACTTTCCCCAGCCAGGGAGTTGGTTTCACTTAATACCTAACTTTGATCACCGTGGCCACCGATTCACTTGTCTTTCTGTGCTCTACAGAAGGTCAGGGCCTTCCTAGACTCTACCTAGTAACCAATCTACAATCATCATGTGCCCAGTGAGTCCACCAGAGCCCAGAGACATGAATGTTTTTGACAGAGGTCACAGATATGGACAGGCCAATTTTGCCACCAGACTGCTGAGGTGGGCCATTGCCCCCAAGGACCTGAGGACCCATGGGAACCAGAACTATCTTTCACCAACACTGTGCCTTCCTCAGGCTACAAGGATACTGAATTCACTGAACAGCAATCCAAAGTGAAAATCCCCTGATGAGAATGGTAGGGCAAGTGTGGAGAAAGATAAAACCTGGGTTTATTGTGACTCGTCTACAGGCGTATTTTATCTTAGTCCCACGTAGGATAAACTCTGAGCTATTCTGATAACCTCAAACGCAAGAGGACTTGTTGGACCTTTTGAAGCTAACTCTTGTGCATATCATCAAAGACACTGGTATCATCAAGGCGTCCAGCGTCACAGCCAAAACCTGAAAGCAACAAGGTCTGACCTAAACTGATTTGAACAATGTACCCATTTCTTATCATCTGAACCAAGCAGCTCTGTGAATAAACTCTCTTTGCCAAGTCTGCCCCACCCACTTGGGAATTCTATTCTTTAGAAAGCAATGGTCTGTACACCGAAATCCAACTCAGCAAATATGCCGTCGAGGTCGCAGACACACTTAGTTAAAATGCTCCCGATAGGCCCAAACCAGTTCCTTTTTTCTCTGAATTCCTCATATAATTTTGCCTTTTCATAGGCAGGTCCAGAGATCATGCTGGCTGAGGACATTAAGACAATTCCCATGAGCCTGTCCCAGAAGGAGAGACGGTACTTTGGTGCAGAGCTGACCTGAGCTCTGACACACAGCATGGGTGTTCTGAAGTGTGGGCTCAGAGTGAGATGGATGATGAACAGTCACTTAACCTTTTGGTTAATACAAAAGTCCTCTAAAGAGGCGCTGGCTACAGCATGTCTGTAAAGTGCCTGCTGTTTACGTGAACACGGGGACATGGACACGAGGACGTAAAAGCTGGGTGCTCTGGCACACATCTGTAAGCACAGCACGGTGGGTGGGGAGGCAAGTGAGTCCTTGATGCTCATCTGCCCACCAGCCTAGTGCTTCACATTTAACGATAGACACCGTCTCAAAAAAAAAAAAAAAAAAAGCCAAGAGCAATAGAGGAAGACACCCAAAGTTGACCTGTGACCATACACACACACACACACACACACACACACACACACACACACACACAGATGCATGCACGCACGGACGCACGCACGCACGGGGGTTGGGTACATACACCACACACAATTCCCTGTAAGCCACCATCTGAAAACTACATTCAGGAACAACCAAATGCAAGCCAGCATCTCTAGACTCAGGCGCTCCGACATACACCCTTCCCACAGATCACTAGGGGTCAGCACCCTGTTCCACACTGTCTCTCCTAGCCCACTCCTACCTATGCTCAGCAGCGACATAAAAGGTGGCTCTACCTGCCCAGGCGGCATCGTTATCACCATCAGTGGGCCTCGAGCAACTTCCTACAGTGTCTGTGCCAGTTTCCCACAGCAGCATCCAGTTAGGGCCTACGTCACAAACCATGACACTGGGGCTGGGGGAGAGGTGGGGAGAGAAAAGAATAAAAACAGACAAGATCCCTAAAGTGAAATGGCCCCAGAACAGTGGGAGTCCCTCAGGGAGATGGCCATAGTGTGTCCTTTGCTACAACGCTCTTTAGAGCCGGGACAGAATTGAAAGCACAGATACGCCTAGGACGGAGGTTGGGGATAAATTCACACTGTGGGAACTCCCCAGCCCAAATCTGGGGTGCAAGTGGAAACACAGCCTTTTAGGGTCACCTCTGAGTCCCCTCCTGCCTGGTGCTTGTCCACTAAAAGCATCTGTGGGGAGAGAGTCTGGCTTTTTCATGATGACTGTCAAATCACTACACATTTCATTTCCACGAGGCCTTCCAGCTGCCGAGAGCAGCCATTAGTGAGTTTATGGAAACCCATTAAAAGGGTCCAGGAAACATATTTTGAGGTGAACCAAAACAGTGGGAAAAGGTGAACTTCAGCCTCCAGGATGGGGTTCTGTTTGTTTGTGTTAGCGCACAGTACTGTCATGGTATCACAGCCACCCCAGAGCCTCTGAGACCAGGAGATAAAATCCACGGCATCACAAGCCACTAGGTCCCTGTCAATGCTCCTCAGTTGAGGAAAAAAACAGCAAGTGCTTTCCAGGGCCTGTGCCACCAGCAGGCTGTGACAGATAGCCAGCTGTTGGGCCACCAGAAATACCCTAGTATCTTGGAGGGTGAGTGATCCCGAGAAAGGAACTTTAAAGACAACCAAGTTGGTGTCATTAGCATGAGCCCGGATCCGGGTCTGCGGTACTTAAAGGAAGAAAGGCAATTGGGTGCGGTGATGACCATGGCACAAAGTAGGAGATACTGGCTAGGGCAAGGCAGGGAAGGGTGGCGGGAGGAGCCAGCCTCCACACATGCTTCCAAGCCCCTGGGCTAGAGAGAATGTTGCTGGTGTGAAAGCCACCAGTGTCGGCTCCTGTCACTCTGGCCCCAGCACACCTCACATGCGCATACCTGAATCTTCACTTTTAAGAAGCTTTAGCTGCTAACCACAGATCAGAAGTGCAATGCTGATAATGTCAGCTGAGAGGGCGGTGCTGAAATATTCTTGATTTTAGTTAAATAAGAGTCATAATGATAGGATGGCAGTTCTTTACGGATTTCAGGTTCCTGTGTTTGCGATAAATTTTGTTCCCGACATGCTCTAGGAACATGGCTTGAACTGCCATCCCTTTGAGCCTCCTGAGACAGATGAAGGGACACAGGACAGAATGACAGGGTCCTTTATGCAGCAAAACAGGAAACAGCTCTGCTCCATGCCCCTATCCTCAGTTCTGGGCCCAAAACAAGCTGGTCTCACTTAGGCCTTCTCTTTACTACAACTTAGTGCCAGGCTCAGCAGTGGAACTCACCGCTGCCACTAAGCCTTCTGGAGTAGCCCCAGCAAGACATGTCCGCATGGATATACTGTGTGGAAAGGACCCCCACAAAACAAACAAAACAAAACAAAAACCACCAGAGTTCTGGAGCTAGTGGACTCAAAGTCACGGACTACATCTAGAGATCAGGGGGAGTGAGCACTGCCCTGAGGAAAAGGGAATGGGAAGCAAAAGGCCTTGATGGTCCGTGCCACATGGCGGTCCCAGGCATGACACCTGCCTCAGCTTGCGGAAGCCGACTTTCTTTGATCTCACTGGCGCTTTCAATGGCCTGAGTAGATGTTTTAATGCCTCGTGTGAAAACCCTGGGGCAGAAAACAGTCCGCCAGGCGTCATGAGAAGCACACCTGTCAGGAAAGCTGTTTAGTTGAAAATAAAAGCACTGAGCCAGTGAAGCGGGCCCAGCGAATCGCAAGCAGCCCTGCAGCCCGTTAAGAAGAGAAACCAACAACTTAAGACCAGAGTTCTGTAACATGTTCTCACTCCCTGTTCGCAGACTGCCAGCAAGCACATGCTGGTCTCCTGGGAGGCAGGAACACTGGTGAGCTGGCTGCTCTGGGGGACTGTGGAGCTGAGGGCCCATCTGCCCCAGGCACGGTGATAGCAATTAAGGCAGGGAAAGGAAGTGGGTGAGCAGCCGGCAGAACACACACAGGAGGATGGCTGCCTCACTTGGCTTATTAAAAACACAACTGTGCATGTGCGATGAGCCTTGCCGTGAGCAGAACTACAACCACCGCATCCACGTGCTGCGACCCTGCCCCTGGCACACACGAACACGGCCTCGAGAAAGTTAGGCTCCCCTGATCCAGCTGAAAGTGTCTTTAGGAAAGAAACTGGCAGACAGAGATCACATGGAGGAAGCTGCCACCAAAAGAGAAGACAAAGGGCTCTGTGACAACGCTATGTGTCCCCATATCACCATTTCCAGAGAGGAGCCAGGACAGCACTCTAGCCCCAACCAGAGGCTGCTTACCTCATGTATGACGTAGGAGACAGAGACTTGGGCTTTGCCCACTGGTACGGGGCCTGTGGCACTGACAGATACTGCTCACAGAAGGCACCCTTCCGAAGGTGCTGGAAGGTGAACTCCTCGGGTGGGAAGTCAGACGTGGGTGGAGTGGTGCCCAGGTCCTCCCCGGCCGGCTCTACTTTGAGGGCCACAGAAGGTGCATGCTCCAGGGTTGTCTTCCGAGACTTGATAGGGACACCGTCACCCAGGTCCAGAGTGCTGTCAGTGGTCAGGGCGTTGATGGCTGCCACAATGGCAGAGCTGGTGTACTGGGTGGTGTTACCAAGCCAGGTGTCTTCGGTCACGCTAACCCGAGGGGAGCCGTGCGGGGATGGTGTGGGTGAGTGGTGGGGCGAGCAGGAGGGCTGCCGGCCATTCAGACTGTACTTGCGCTTGTTGCAGGGGGATGTGGGTCGGGAGCCGCGAGCGCCGAGCCAGCTCTCCTCTGTGACGCTTGCCCGAGGAGAGGTGGATGGGGAGTGCCTTGGAGATCCCAGCATGTGGCAGGCACCCAGGCCTCGGGGAAAGCCCTCCTCTGGGTCCGTGGTCTTGGGAGACACGCAGGGTGACTGCCATGGGGAGGTCTGGGGGGATGCGTACGGGTACGAGTAGTTGGACTCATAGGAGGAGGCCTCAGAGTTACAGCTCCGCGAGGACAGACTGCTGGCTGGGCTCAGGCAGGAGGGGTCTCTGTAGGCTTCCAGGCTGGGCAGGTGCAGGGTGGCGGTCGACGGGGACCGCTTGCAGCTGGGGAGGACATCTTCTACCTCCACATCATGGAAGAACTGGCTGCTGCCATGGTGAAGGCCCAGGTAGGAGGTGATCTCGATGCGAGGACTCTCCAGAGTCGGGGCCCCGTTGGGCCGCATGCTGCCAGAGGACAGAAAGTACCCCGAAGGCCCACTGTCCACAGCCCCTCCATAGCTCGAGGGATGATTTGCTGAAGGAACGGCAGACATGCCCGGGGTGGACGTCTGGAGGTCATGGCATGGTGCTGGCAAGGAAGAGTGCACTGTGGGAAGGGGCAGAGTGGAGGTGACGCCAGGGGACGCATAACTGTAGTGTTCTGGAAGAAAAGAGAAAAGATGCCATGAGGCCAGTGAGCAGGAGGCACACACTCCCAAGGGCAGCGAACCCAAGACCCGGTGCCAGCCCTGAGGGCTCCAGGTCCCTCTTTGTAGCCTCTGGAAATATCCTGAGGTCAGACTGCTCCAAGGCCTCCTGCCTGACTCTAGACCAGAGCAGCAGTCTCCCTCAGCCAGATGTCCCCTGCCAAGAGCCACACGGCTGTCGCCTGCTGTCCTCCTATTCAATCAAACTCTGCATTTCCTAGCTGGTAGTGATTTCAAATCCTTATCCAATAGCCGAGTTGCCTTCTCCAATTTATCCCCTCTCCCCTTCCTTCTCTCTGGCATACATCACAAGCTAACATGCGTTTTTATATTGCCATCTCTCCAGGTTCCATTGTGGCAAGAAATTTGCCTGCCTTGTGGTTCATGGCTGTCTGCAGAACCAGGCACAGCAAAGCACTTCTGTGATTCTAGCACTTCAGAGGCTGAGCACGGTAGGGGCATTCTGAGTTCCAAGCCAGGGGTTCACTTTGTTTCACGAGTGGATGGACTGGGGCATGAGTGGTGGGTGACAGACAGAAGGACTGATATACTCTGGAGGGAGAAAGAGTGTATATGTAGACACAGGCTTCTGTTTCAGACACAGGGACCCAGGCGTTTCCATAGCTTTTTGGTGGCAAATCACTACCAAGCAGCCTAAAGGCTTGGCTTCAAAGAGCACACCCAAAGGATAGATGAAAATGTGAATTCTAAAGCTGCTCTTATGGCTACCCGGGTCTAGCTGGTACCTAGAACTTCTAAAACAGAACAGATGGTTCTAAGGCACAACTAGATCTCACAAACAGTATGTGCTAATTATACTTTGATAAGCACTTGAAAAAAATGAAACCATTGTTGTTATTGCTACTCAACAGGAAAGCCATGCTTCTGGGTTTCTTATCGGAAAGGCTCTCCGAATCCTAGAGCCCATTCATGTGTGTTGGGAGACAAGCATTTCCAGGTCTCTGAATAATGGAAACAAGAACAAGGAAATCTTAGATCCACACCAGGCTCCAGTGCCAGGCTGGGAGATATTGTGTTCAAGGACAGCGCTGCTCTCTGCTGATCAGAAACCAGCAAAAGAAAACTCCAGAAATGTTAGTGTCTCTAGGCACCAGCCAAACCCTTCGATATTTTCTAGAGGCACAGGCCAGGCCTCAGGAAGGTCAGGCAGTTTCCACTATTGCTCACTCCCAGTCTTCTACACCAATGGCAGGCGGCTCACAACCCTTCTGGCAACACAGCAGCGTCCTTATGAGGTAGACTGGGGTCCTACTCCAGAGTCCAGTGGGAGGACTCTGTCATCCTCAGTCCCTGGGTCACAGAGGCCCTCTGGAAAGACCCGAGATGAGACAAAGAGGAACAAAGGGACAGCTAGAGGACTCAGAAGCAACCTGAAGCAGGAACCTCTCCACCAGGCTGTGGTTGGAGGTCCTTGTCACAGGGACACCGCTTCCCAGTCTGAGCTCCATGTCTCAAGAAGCTGGAGCCCAACACTGAAAACGACACTGTACTAAATTACCCTAAAGCCGCTTCCTAGAGATGGTAACACTTCTGAAGAGACAACACTGGTGGATGGTGGTAACTGGGACTTAGACTAGAGGCCTTTGCCGAGCTCCCAAGCTCAGGCTATTTCTTTGAGCACTGGACAAGACTGCAGGGCTCCCCACTGCCATTAACCCTCCTTTGTGTCCAGCTACACAGCTCAGTCTTGAACTGCAGAGACAGGCCACCCCCAGTACCCCAAAATGCAGTCCTAGGGAAGACTGATCAGAGTTACAGACTGTCCACAGTACATAATGAGAAAGACACTAACCCCAAAGGACCCAGTAGGTAGAGGTATGAGACAAGCTCAAGTGGGAAAGCCAAGCCTAGAGGCCAAAGGGTGGTCAGTGAGACAAATAGATGGTCTGGTTCCTCTGTGAGGTCACCAACAAGAGAGTCTGGGACAAGGTACCAAGGACCCTATTCAGGGGCAGCTCTACCAGGTGATGTGTCCAGGAGCCTTCCTCTCTGCTGTTACCACCAAAGGCAACAGACACAGGGAATGCTGCTGCTATAGAGCTCTCCCTCAGTTGGCCCAGAGTTTTCCACTCTAGAACTTTCTATGAAAAAGCACAATCAATGTTCCATGGCCCTGAAGATGCGGCTAAGATCTTCCCATCTTTGGGTATGAAGTCCACCAAAACCAAAAGTGTAACATAAGGACCCCAAAATATCACAGCGTCATTGCTAATGGACCATTGATAAAAGGGAGGATAAAACTGTAGACAAACAGGGTAGGAGTTTTAGTAATTTGATTTCAACTCTACTTCCACCAGGGCTGGAGTCTTACGGTCAGCTATAACTTGAAAGGATGCCTGCCTCTCTTTGCTCAGATTCACCTGTGCACTTGGACTACAACCTGGTACTCTGATGTGCCACATCCTCTGAAACACGCCTCCTTCAGGAAGTTTCTCTAGCAATTGTCCCTGTGTTCACATTCAGCCAGGCTCCCTTCAGGGCATTTCCCAAGGTCTTCAGAAATTCACAATCTCCCTGCCACACACACATGGACGTGTCCCTCATGACCCCACCTGCTCATCACCCAAAGGGCCCCTGAGGATGAGAACATGTGTGCTCTGCTCTCCAGTCTTCTGGGCCTCAGTTCCACCAGATTCAGAAGGGTTCAATACCAAAGCCCAGGGCAGACACAGTCTCCAGTGGGTATGGGACACAGCATGGCAGGGCCAGCGTCTGCCAGAGGCACCAGCTCTGAACAAAGGAGCTTCAGGAACACACCCTGAGAATGGTAGCGACCACACCCATGTGGGTGCCACGGGTTGCCCAAGCAGTACCCAGGTGAGATGGCCTCATAGTCCCCAGCCCTAAGCAGGCAGCTAATCCGTTTAGGAAGTCACGTCTCCCCAATGTTATGCTGTCCCTGTGCCTAGAGCTCTGTGCACTGTATGAAGCCGGCCAATAACAGAACACTGGAAAAGACTGGGCTCCCAAGGCTGGCGAGATAGCTCAGTGGTTAGAAACACCGCTGATCTTGCAGAAAACCCGGGTTCAGCTCTCAGCATTCATATGGTAGTTCACAACCATCTGTAACTGTAGTTCCAGATGCCCTCTTCTGACTTCTATAGGCACTAGGACACGTGGTGCACATCTACACATGCACACAAAATACTCATAAATACATTTCAAGAATCTGTTTTCATCTTAAGAAAACCCAACTCCAGAAGAAAAAAAGGTTTGAGTGTAAGGTTGATGGGAAACTCTGGTATCACAGCAGCTGTGCACATACTGGGAAAGCTGAGCCCAGGTCTCTGTGCAGAGCTTGAAGACCCAGGCCGTGGGCTGCCAGACCCAAAGGAGGAACACCTGCAGTGGTGCAGGGCCTGGCTCCTGTGTTCTCTGTCTCCCAAATGAAAGAATTCTATTTACTCCACACCAGGACTGGCCCTATGGCTGACCACCTTCTTTTGGATGGAAGGGAAAATTGGAAGAGTCCTCTAGAAACTCCTAATAACAAGCCAAGTTAAACCCTGGCTCTCCTCAGTCCTGCCTTGACACCCCTGCGGCCAAGGCTTCAGCTGCCTGGGGTACTGGAAGATTCCAGAAGAAATGGCTGGGTGGCAGGCAGAGGGCAGAAGGCAGCTAATTTGGCTTGTCTCCTTAGGGCCGTCTTAGCAACAGGGTGTCTGAGGCCAGAGAAGGAGGAAGAAGGGGGCTTTCTCAGTCTAGGCCCAGATGCAGAAAAAGAAGAAGTTGTGGGACTCGGCACGTGGTCTCTGGGACATTATAAGAATGGCCTTTATTTAAACCAAAATGTTTGAATAAAATATGATGCAATGGGGCAAAGAAAAATCCATAAAATATTTATAAAAAAAACAAAACAAAAAAAAAAAACAAAAAAAACAGAAACAGAAACAGGGTTAGGAATATAGCTCGGTTAGTAAACACTTGAGCGGTGTCCAAGGTGCCCCGGCTAGCACCACACAAGCCAGGCACACCCTGTAAGCCCAGCACACAGGAGGTGAAGGCTGGAGGATCACAGAGTAGAAGTTATCCTGGCTGCACAGTGAGTTAGAGACTAGCCTGGGGCTAGATAAGACCCTTTCTCAAAAATAGAATAAAATCAAAACAAAACCAGTTAACTTGCATGCAGATTTCCTTGGTCAAACTCCAGAATGAAAGTTTAAATGCCCAGAACCTGTCGGTGAGAGCTGTGTCTGTCTCTCTTGTCAGAGTCCTCTGGAGCAAGAGTGCCCACTGACTCCATGGAAGGAGGCTAAGCTGCCTCTTACTACAAAGCCTGGATCTGCAGGGGCAGGACTAGCCCTCCACCTGTACCAGCTTCCACAACTCAGACGGATCGCTCTATAGGGTCCATAGGGAATGCCAAGCTTCCCAGCCATCTCCTTACCAATCCAGAAACGTTGGGACTGATTGTGTGACATCAGACGCTGCTGTGCCTGGCAGCCTGGCTTTTGCTGAATGGGCCACTAAACTGAGGTGCAGAGGACCACAGAAGAAAAGCAAAAGTGGAAGCAAAGGCCTCCCACAGCACACATTCTCTTATCTCATGTAATAAAAGGTAACAAAGGCCCAGCCACCCTCTGCAGGTGCTCTGGCCCGTCTTCTAGGTCCCTGCTGCCTGTGGTATTCCATGTGGATGAGATGGGGTGCAGGTAACCAGAGCTCTGGGGCTGGCCAACTCCCACCAGCCTCTGCAAACGCCACAGCCCGTACTGCCCCCAACATTACGATTCTGAGTAAGAACTTACTGCAGCCTCAGCACGGCATTACCGGTGAGCGGTATGCACCACGAACGTAGCGGTATATGTCCTCTTTAGACATGCTGCAGGAGAACGCCTGCTGCCCACCAGGTGACTTACGGCACCTGCTGTAAGTGAAACCACTCTGCGGGTGTTCTGGTTCACGGCACTTGGCATGTTGCTGAAGTGAATGAGAACAATGCTGTGTGTGCCACGCCTCCCATGTGAGACACCCTCCCGTAAGCATGGCTACCGCAGCCCCCAGCCCACTGTTCACGAGCACAGAGCAGGACCCACCACAGCCAGCCTTCACCTTCATTTTAAGGAACACCCCTTTATCCTTTCCCGGGGCTGCACTGCAGGACTTGAAGCTAGAAATAGAACCAGGAAGAGCCTGCCAGCCAGGCCTGTCCTCTGATGCCTGCTCACCCTGGTCTTTCTACGTGTGCTAGAGCCTGCAGGGTACGAGTGAGGCTATAAGTGTCCAGGCTTGGGGGTGAAAAATGGAACACAGAACAGTCCTGGGCAGCCAGGCCCTTGCTGTTCACTCAGAACACTGGATGGTGCTCCCTAACGAGGACAGCATGGAGACTGGGTTGGTCCTGTGAAGTGACAGACAGCAACAGGTTCTGAGGTACTGTGCAACGAGGTGCCGAAGGGAGATTTACAGGGCAGAGAGCTGGGCTTGCTGAAGCAACAGCAAATGTCACCCAATGATCCACAAATAAGCTCACACAGCATGTGTAAGGGTCCTGTGCCCAGCCTGGGTCTTTCCTCGAAGACCTCAAAGACCTCCACATTCCCCCAGCTGCACACGAAAGTGTTACTTTCACTTGTTCTGTTGCTCCTGCTGAGCCGAGGGCTTCTGAAAACCTGATACGGAGCTAGCATATCCTGCTCACACAGACAAGTTTGTCCTTGATTAAAACATCTACAAGACTTAAGCACAGTGAGGCTGCTCCCAGCAGAGACTGAAGCCTCTTTCCAAAAACATCAAACCTCAGCATACTCAGGGCTCTTCTGGGGAAAGGGGCCCACTCCTCTCGCAGATTCCTAAAGCGGGAACTGACCCACCAGCAAGGCTCCCCTTTTCGTGCTGGAAAACCACTTGAGAATAAAAGCTCTCCCCAGTCTCATTTCAGCAAAGCCCCCTTTCTGCTGGTACACTGTTCAAGCCTGGAGCTGGTGGGCAGAGCTGTCTGGGCCCAGGGCCTTGGCCAGTTTCCTCTCGAGTTGCCACGGAGACAGAACTAAGCGGTCAGGCCAAAATAACTTACAAAACAGGAGCCCTGGGGCGGAAGTGGCACACCCTCCCAGCTGATGAGCAGAGCAGCTATTTCCTGACCCCGAGGGACTGTGGCCCTGCCTTCTCCCCAGAAGCTGACCCTGGCCCACCGGTCGGCAGGGAGGGGACAGAAGGATGCCTGATACTGGAAGAGAATATTATTCCAGTCCCCTTCTGTCCTAGGCTTTACTTTAAAACATTCTCTTTCTGCTCCCCTCACAAATGACTATTATACATCTACCAGACACCTGCTAAGCACTTTGCAAATAACACACCAGACACAAGCCTTCCCTCCAAAGATCAAGGCAAGAACCCTTCAGATGGGTAGGCGATGGGAGCAACAATGTGGACCTGCCTAGGCCCACTGCAGCCCAGCCCGACCTCTACGGGTGTGTGGGGGAACCATGCCCCTTTCATACAGCGCCGCCCCCTGCACTCTGGGGTAGCCTTTCCCACAATCTGTGAATATGTGTGGTCAGCATGAACTGCAAAACGCAAATGTTACTTTGCAATTGATCTCAGAATTGTTCTCTCATTCATGAATTCATGTTTAGACCCATTCCAGATAATGTGACGCTCCTACCATTCAGTAGGGACTGGAGAGTTTAGAAACTTCATATGACTGGATAATATAAATAATGTAACTGGATAATTAATAAAATGTTAAAACAATATTGGAGATAAGAGAGAAAAAAGCCTGAGTCAGTCTCTCTCTCAAAAAAAAAGAGAGAGAGAAATGTAACATGTATTGTTCATGTAGCATGTTTCCCAGCACCTCTCTCAACATTAGAGAAGGGAGAAAGAGCTTTTCCTAGTGCTGGCTCAGGGCTCTCCCGTGGCCTCCGACCTGAAAGCTAGAAGTGCTGGGCTTCACTGCCGACCCTTGGCACACCCGACCCGCACTTCCCAGGGCACGCAGGCTCACCCCTGCGCCTCTGTGCAGCTCTAGCGAGCACTCCGTTTCCGAGTTGGGGCTTCACCTGACCTAGGCTGCAGTGAGACACAGCACTTCACCTTTCCACTCAGCCGACTCCAAAGCAAAACCATCAACAGCATGGCTCCCTCACATGTGCGAGGGGAGGGTGTGACCTGAACCCATTTGCCACCCAAAGTTCAAGGGGCCACCTGCTCCCGGGCCCAGAAAGGAGCCTGACGCTCCCCAGAGGCCCTGCTCAGAGTCTCCTTCATGGAAAACCACCCAAACCAAACCCCTGTCTTCCTTCCCTGAATGGGCTGGACATTATACGTGTCCAAATACGGCTCAAAAAGAGAGTACTGAGAGAGCTGGTGTGTCCAGCTGTGAGTCAAGGACTCCAGGCCCTGGGTGGTGGGGGGGTGCAGGGAATGTGGTTTGCTGGGATGCTGAACCCTGCTAATGGTCTGCCTGAGCGGGCAGAACACACTTGCCCTCAGATTCTCTCCCCTGAGTTTGTGGAGATGAACACTAAGTTTGCAGCCTCCCAGAGGCCCTTCTCCCCAGGCAGTCCACAGGGCACCATGAGGTACAGAACTGTGGCTCTGGATCTTTGTCCCCATTCCTATTGTTGGACCTGTAGTCAGCTGTCCATTCAAAGTAAACAAGGGAGACACAGGAAGGCTCCACTCCATGGTTTTATCCCTGAAGAGAAAGGAGCTAAAGGCATCAGAGCAGAACCAGAACCACAGTGGCCCCCTGTCATCCAAATCCAACATGGATACCCTAAGAGGTCAGGAGTAGGCTTTTCTGCTTAGAGCACAAGAGTTCTGGAGAGAACTGACGGACGGATGCCCTACACTGTCACAGCAGCCGAATCCTCCAAAGCAACAAGGCCAAGAGACGCCAAGGGTCTCCTCTTGTAGCCCCAGACCTCCTTCCAACAGTTGCCTCATTCACTGCCCGCAGAGCCCTGTAACCTAGGCCCTGAAAGGAGAAAAGAAACCTATCAGGAAAGGGTTTTATGGGGGACAGATGAGAGTTGCTGGGTGGTGACAGCCAAGCTGGAGCACTCACCTTCAAAAGCGAACAAGACGTTGGAATTTAAAAAGAAAAAAAAAGTAGTGCATGTCACGGAAAATATGACAGGGTCATTTCGGAGGTGCTACACAAGTGTTCTGTCTATTCCAACCCCACACAGCTGGGATGCGGACCCCGAGGCAAGCACAGGCTGCTGTCTGGCGCTGTGTGAAACTTGGAACAGAAAGTCAGGTGGAGGAAAGGGCCAGGCTGCTGGGAGGTGGGGGTGCAAGAACTGGGCTGTCGTTACTGTTTAGGAGAAACCAGTGCGGGGAAACAGCACAGTGAGCGTTGGCCTGGCTGGAAGCTTTACTTTTGACAGAGAGAAGAGAAAATGAAAGACAGCGAAAGCTCTCAGGGTCTGGTGGCTGAGGTGTGGACTGAAAACCCAAGCGGTGGGAGCCTTCCTGCCGAGGGAGCTGCGGCGGCGGTCAGCACAGGGCCGGGCCTCCTGGCTCCAGGTCCCCCGGGCCAGGCGGTAGCAGCCGGGCTCTCAGAAAGGGCGGCTTCCGACCGCCCTCTGGCAGCGCCGCTGACCATCTGTCCCCGGACTACGAGGTCCAAGTCCTGCGCGGGACACAGCCTCCCCTCGGGGCCGGGCCTCCTGGAAGGAGGGGAGAGCCCTCTCCCGCGCCCCGGTGCTCCGATGCCAGGAAGTGCGCGGCGGGGGAGCGGTGGCAGGCTCGCCCCACAGGTGGCCTCCCGCCTCCTCGCGGCAGGCAGCAACTTGGTCCGCGTCGCTCCTGGCCGCGCAGGCAGGGCGGCGGCCCGGGGTCCCGGCTGGTGCCAGGTCGGGGCGGGCGCCGGCGACCTGAGCAACCTCAGGCCCGCGGCGGGGTGCAGGCGCCCGCCGCCCCCCGCCGGACCCACCTGCGGCCGCGGCGCCCCCGCCGCTCTGATCGAACTCGAAGAGGAAATCGAAGTCGAACTCCGGGTCCTGCTCCAGCCCCGTCATGTCGGGGTCGCGCGGCAGTGGTGCGCCAAGCGCCCGCGCGCGTCCCCGGCGTGACGCGGCCCCCGCCTCCTGTCCCCTCCCCTGTCCCCTCCCCGGCCTCCCGCCCCGGTCCCGCCCCTGTCCCCCCGGGTGTTTCCGGGTTTACATAAACAAGCCGCTCGCGGCCGCCGGCTTCCGAGTTTTAAATAAACTCCGCGCGCGAGCCCGAGCGCCGCCTGGACTCCCCTCGCGCGCCCGCAGGACCGCGCGGTCCGAGCTCCATCCCCGCCCCTCCGGGGGGTGCCCAGTCCCCCGCCGGACCCCCGTGCCCCCGAGGGACCTCGGTCTCCCTTAGGCTACTCCCGCCCCGCAGGAACCCAGCCCGGTGCGGGCAGCCCAGGCGTCCGCGCCCCAACCCCGGCGCTGCCGGCGGTAGCAAGGCGAGCGCAACAGCCCAGGCCGGGCTGCGCGATCGTTCCGGACCAGAGCGCAGGGCCTGCGGGGCTGGAGCTGCGTCCTGGACCCGCAGCCCGGCCTCGCAGATGGTCCCCTGGTCCTGTTCAGCGTGGTGCGCAGTCCACAGCCGAAGGAGGTACCCCGGGTCTTGCTGTTTCCCTGCACCAGGAAAAAGACCCAGGCTACTGGGTTAGTTCAAGAGTTCAAAAAGAAAAGAAAAAAAAAAAAAAAAAACACAAAAACCAAAATGTATATATATATACGTGTATATCTATGTACACACACACACACATCCTGGCCTCTTCTGGTTTATCTACAAGCTTTATCCACGTTGCTGCTTGAGCAGAATGACTGGAGAAAACCCACCTTCAGGGAAGCATCACAGAGCCCACCTCAGAGCTTTCCAACTTCAAGCAGTAAAGGCTGGGGGGGGGGGGTACATTTTCTAGCCCAGCTTTCACTAAAGAAATTACCTGAAAGTAACAGGAAAATGAGGGTAGGGTTTCCTGAGGGTTGTGCTCTCCTCTCTGCAGGTCAAACCCCAGAGCACAGTTGCTTACAAACCATTCAAGCTTGCCAACAGTGGCCATCTCGCTCTGGGGGCACCTAACTCGAAGCAAATCCTGTTTTCGTGCACTAACGACCTCATTAATCTTTCAGCTTTTGAAACACTGCACACTCCTGTTTTAGTAGGGGTGATTTCAAAGCTCCCAGAGGCTGAGTGGGTGCTGGGCGTTACCCTCTCAGACACAGAGTGCCATGCACACAGCAGTCAGAAGGAAAAGGCTGGGCCTGTGGAGCCCGGTCCATCTTTTCCTGTTTCTCCCAGCTTTTTGTTCTAACTTTCCTGGTGTCTTGGCACCACATAAGCCAACATCTGGAATATCAGGAAAATGGTGGCCAGGGCAGGAGAGGCCAGTATCAAACCTAGGAGGGAGGGAGGCAGGAAGAGAAGGAAGAGGGTGGTCACTGTTGGTACCTGCCACCAGACTCAAGTGTCCCCTATGTCCCACACCCGGGCCCTGCAGCCATGGGCCCGGGGGATGGCTTTTTCCAGAGGCCATCACTTGGGCCTCACGTGGGCTGCCACTTCTCCCAGGACCCTGTTTCAATAGCTGATTTTCTCCCGTGATAAACCATAGTTCAGTCTGGCCTGATTTCGTTTCTAATAATAGTTCTCACTTTGAGATGCATGTTGGAGCGTTGTTTTGTTTTAGTTTGCTTTTTTGCTGACCTTCAGGGAAATGGAAGTTCTGTTTTGTGTGGAGAAACCTCGATGTCTCTTTATCCACCTTTTCCACCCTTACACACACATAACAGCCCTTCTTGTCCGCTTTTGGAATAAAGCTTTTTGCTAAAGTTGCAGAGCACCTGGCTTCCCCGGTCCACATGCCCCAGATGATGAGACCAAAGAGAGGAAGCCACAGGGCCTTTCTCTCAGAGGCTGGTGAGGCTGCCTCCTTGTCTACTGCCTAACGCAGGAATCAGCCAACACAACGATTTATGAAATGCTCCCCTGTGCCTCAGGCAGCCCCCTTGCCTGTCCTCTCTATAGTACGAAGCTTGGTCTTCCAGTTCAGCAGACACTCCAGTTTTGATAGAAGTGTTTAGCTTGGACCACTTCCTCCCAATTCTGCAAGATGTTAATGGGCCAGGTCCAGCGCGGGGTGTGATGAAGCAGGGTACAAGGCCTCAGCATTTTCTAATCTGGATTAGGAAACAATGCCATGAAGCTAACTGGCTGGAGAACAGGGCCAGCTTTGTTCAGCTCTGGAGAGCCTGTGGGGTGCTGTGTGAGGCAACTCCGACACTGTGGCTAGCTACAGGCTTGTGTTCCTTGGACTTCATCAGAGCAGAGTGGCACAAGGCCTTCAGAAATGGCCAGACCTGGTGAGCTTCCATCTAAAGGGCCATGAATCGGAAGGCGGCAGAGAGCAGCTGGTGCCCAGGGGGGCAAGGCCCGCTCAGGAAGGACAGGGCCATTCCCCATGGCCCTCAGCAATGGCAGACACTAACCTGCCGCGTGCACTTCCCTTCCCCTGCCTGTCTGCCTGTCTCAGGACTGCTACAGTTTCTGGCTGGCTCCGGTACATACACGCACTCTCCACGAAAAATGACCAACATGATTTGGTCTAAGGGCATTATTGCCTCCAGTCTACTGCTTCAGCAGAGGCATTTTCAAACTTCCTTTACTAGGTAGGTTACACACACACACACACACACACACACACACACACACACACATGACTACTTACCCCCACCCCACCCTTGTCAATGGCCTTTCCTTTTGTGAAAAAAAAAAAAAAAAGTTTTGTTTTGTACTGTAGCCCAAGGCAGGCCTGGTGCTTGCTTTGTTGCCCAGGCTGGCTTTAACTCATGGCAACCCTCCTGTTTTAGTGCTGAGATTACACCTCAGATTATTGAATAATGGAACGGTAACTCTACAGGTAAAGAATATAAGCTTGACGTGCCTTAAAGAAAAATCAGTGACTGACGAATGTGTGTGGAAATAAGTGTCAAGAAATTCATAACCCAAACCACAACAAAAACACCATTAACTTTCCCTGTACCAAGAGCTCCTCCTGAGAACATGAAGCAATATTTAGGCCTCGTTAAAATGAGGGCAATGGGCATGAAACAAACTATAACTGCCCCCCTTTGATTCAAAGTAAATGTAATACTTGGTACCCTGGACTCCGGGACTCTGAAAATTTAGATCCATTTGTGCTGAGCTTATGGCTGTTGGGTCTGAAGATAAGCAAGAGGCCCAGGGAACTGCTCAGGCCCAGGTCTCTGGGAACTGCTGTCCTTGCCTGACACACTCATCAGAATCTCACAGGAAGCTGATGTTTCCTTCCAACTGCTTGTCTAAAGGATGGCTGCCCTAGCAGGGGTCCAGCTCACTTTCAGTAATTTTAAGTAACATCTTCGGAGCCAAAAAAGAATCAGGAGCATGGCTCCCAGTTCTTACTCTACACAGGTCAGGTTATCCCATGCTGAAAAGGCAGACATCCTCTAAGGGGTGTTCCAAAGATACCTGCAGGAACCTAAATGCTTTAAAAGTCATTTGGCTGGTTCTTTGGAGGAGACCCGAAGGGTCCTGGCAGAAGGTCAGGGGCATGCCATCCAGCTTAGGGCTGATTCCAGCACCTATTATTTACCTGGAAGAAGCAGCGTGAAACTTGGCAGTCCCTTTGCGATCTTTCCCAGGGCATTTTCTAGGGCAGAACTCTTGTCTGAATCCAACATTTGGCCACAAGCTTGGGAAGTATCTAGAAACCTGCACCACTTGGGGCCAGTTGACCAAGCCCTTAGTGAGAGGCACCTACCAGACCCGCTTGGGAGGGTACAGGACCCTCACATTTCATGTCATTTGCTCTTCACCAGAAAGGATGGGCTCGCCTTCCTGAGATAGAAGCAGGACCATCTCTGCTGTCCAAAGAAGCCTCACTTCATTCCAGGCTGGTTTTGGGGTTTCCATTCTGAAGGCCCTCCCATGCCCCATGCTCAAGTCTCACCCCTATGAATCAAGTTTCCCCGTCTGGGATCTCCGCGACCCCAGCCAAAGCCAAGTTTGAGTACTCAGCGCTAGAGAAGAGGAGACACCTATTGGCAAGAAAGAGCGCTAGAAATCTGGGCTGCGCCGGGGAAACACCAGGGGGACACCCTTCACACTGTGTGCCACGCTGTCCGGCCGGACGCCCGCGCCCCTCCCTGGACGCGCAGACCAGCCGGGGCAGCTTGGCCCCGGGGGAGGACTCGAGATGGGCGCGGGGCGCGGGGAGCGGGCACGGAGGGCCGGGGCACTCGGGGGCGAAGGGAGGGGCGCGGGGCTTACCTTCCTCGGCCGCCTTCATGGTGCCGCCGGCGGGCGGCGCGGGCCGCAAAGTTTCTCCGCTCCCGCAGACTGCGGCCGGAGGGCCGAGTGGAAACTTGGAAGGGACTGGAAAGCTGGTACTTGGCATCCACGCGGCGGTGGCGGCGGCGGCGGGCAGCAGGAGGAGGAGCGGGAGCTGGCGCCGGGAGCAGCCACGGGCCGGCTCCCGAGTCGGAACTCTTCCTCGCAGACACGCGCGGGGCCGGGCTCAGAGCCGCGCGCGGCGGGGAGGTGGCATGCAGGGGGTGTGGGTGCGTGGCAGGCCCGCCTGCGGCCGGGGACTGGCCGCGGGGTCGGAGGCGTGCGCGGCGCCCGGGAGCCCGTGCCCCGCCGCTCGGATCTGCGCGGCGACACTGCCGCCCAGTTAGGAGCCTCTCGGTCTCACTCTGACGCAGGGCCGGGCTCTGCCTTCTGCCTTTTTAAAGCTGGAAAACACCTCCCCCGGCTCCCGCCCGCCCGGCCGCTCCCGCGCCCCCTCCCTGTAGTGACATCACGCCCCTGCCCGCCCGAGCCGGCGCGGGGCCCGGGGGACAAGTCGCGGAGCGCCGCCCTCCGCGCGCAGCGCCTGCAGTTCGCTGGGCAAGCGGGGCGCCCCGGTTGGGACAGGGGTACCCCGGGGTGGAACCGCTGGGCGGGCGGGGAGGGAGGGGGCGCAGCAGGGGTAACTAGGACCCAGGGGACAGGAAGGGCACCCGGAGGTCCGCAGAGGCACCTGGAGGTGGGCAAAGGTGGCCACGGGGA